CCTTGTGGGACATTCCCTGTTATCCAGGACTACTGATAAATGATGGAGAGTGGCTTGGCAAGCTCCTCTGCCAGCTCCTTCAGCACTCTCGGGTGGATCCCAGCCGGCCCCATAGACTTGTGGATGTCCAGGTGGTTCTTCGGAGGTATGGTGGGACAAGCCCAGTGCCACCTTCTCACATAACTAAATGCATTTCAAAATGTCACATGCCCCAGACGAGGGATGGGCCTCCTGTGCTGGCAGACGGGAAAGCTCGCTGTCTCGTTTACTTTGTATTTTGTCTCTGAAATTTGTTCCAGTAGGATGAGGAGAACTGTGGCTTAGCAAAAATGAGACTAGGATATCCTGGAAAGGGACACAATTAGTTATCAAATCATGTTCAGCTTCATTAGAGAGACTAGATTTCTCTCCTGGGGCTGATACTTTTATGACTCTTGATTTCTCACAATACTGCAATGTCCTTCAGGTTTCATCTGGAGGCAAGAAGAGGAAACGGAAGCGTGTGCTGAAATCCAAAATGTTTATTGATGAAGAAGAAGGCTGCATGGGTAAGTAAGAGTAACTGGCTCCTATGCCTCAGTTGAACTAACTGTACTGAAGATGTGTTAAAGATTTTTACAGGCCAGCCTCTCGCAGGTGTAGAAAGAGGTTCACAAAATTGCTCTGTTATTCCACTTCAACCTCATGCTCCCAGACTGAGGGAACTGCCCTTTTGGTACAGGCCTGGATAGGGAGTCATGGAGCTATGGCTGAATCCTTATTCTTTTTTTGATTATTCTTCAGATTTTCTTTCAGTTCTTCTTTCCCTCGTGCCAGCATGAGCACCTCCTTCATTTGCTTTCCTCTCCAAAGATACAAACTTTTAAAGATGGTGCAGAGAGAGGTCTAGATTTTGGGATAAAATCTGGGTGGGAGAAGTTTTGGTTTGGTAGTTTTTTTCTTTTCTTTTGAGGATAACTCCAAAGCTGTGCAGCAGAGCTTGATCATAAGTCAATAGAAACTTTAAATATCCCAGATAAGCGAGGAGTAAGTTGGGGCTTAAATCCTTGAGAGGGTTTCCCTTTCTGATAAGGGTGGCTCTGATTTCAGGAGGAAAGAGAGTCTCTACAGAAGTACGGAGAGCCGGAGGTTTTGAATTCCAGCCTGACTGGGCACTGCTTCCTCCTGTGACCTGGAGAAAGCTGTGTAACGCCACTGTTCTCCTTTCCTCCTCTGTGTCCTGATGCTGAAGTAGGGGGTTTTTTAGAGGTTTTAAAAATTTAAGAGGGTGGAATGTGGGGTTTTTTTGTGTAGTGCTGTTGCCAGCTCAGTTGTATGGGATGCTTAACATTCTCCAGCCTTGCTGATCCCCTCTACTCTGCTCTGGAGCCCTGCGTCCAGCTCGGTAGCCCTCAGCACAAGAAGGACATGGACCTGTTGGAGCGGGGCCAGAGGAGGGCTACTAAAATGCTGCGAGGGCTGGAGCCCCTCTGCTCTGAGGCCAGGCTGGGAGAGTTGGGGGTGTTCAGCCTGGAGAAGAGAAGGCTGCGGGCAGAGCTGAGTGCGGCCGGTCAGGGCTTCAAGGGGGCCCAGAGGAAAGGGGGGGACAAGCTTTTTAGTAGGGCCAGCTGGGACAGGACAAGGGGGGATGGCTTTAAACTGAAGCAGGGTAGGTTTAGACTGGATCTAAGGAAGAAATTCTTTGCAATGAGGGTGGTGAAACCCTGGCAGGGGTTGGCCAGAGAGGGGGTGGAGGCCCCATCCCTGGGAACATTCCAGGCCAGGTTGGACGGGGCTGTGAGCAACCTGATGTGGTTCAAGGTGTCCCTGCTCCTGCAGGGGGGTTGGGCTGGGTGACCTCTGGGGGTCCCTTCCCACCCAAACCATTCCATGATTCTATGATCTGAGTAGATGTCAAGGGAGCTCAGCCAGTTCTAGGTGAAGATCTGTTGCTGTTGTACAGGTTTGTCGTGCATAAGTGTGGATAGATACAGGCTTGCTTGGCCCAGATGTGGAGCTGCCTGGACGTCAGTCAGCTTGTGTCTGTTTGCACCTGCCTGTATATTGTATTTTATGTTTCCTATTAATTTTGTGTGTCTCCTTTAAAGAAATATAAAGCAACTGGCTATGCTAGTAACTGAAATCTCAAGTACTGGATTTTTGTCAAAGAATTGGACCTGCACAAAGTTATTGACTGCTTTGGCTCATTGTGTTATGGGGTGTTTTGCTCTCCCATCCCAGATAGCACCATTAAAACACTTGGAAGGAAAATGGAACAAAAAAGCATTAGCTGGGGAGTTGAGTTGAGCAAGGCCTGCATCCAGAGCTCACAGTAATGACTGTTCCGGGTTCAGCTTCCAGCAAAGAGTGCTCTTCTTGTTCTGCTCAGCCTTTCTAAACGTACCAGGGCTGGGAAGATTGCCTTCCTTTCTCTTCTCTTCACCCCCAAGGCGTTGAGTAGTCTCTTGTGAAATCCAGACCTTCGGTTTCACAGTTCATATCCACAACCATTTTACGAAAAGGGAAATGCCAAGTCCCTGTTGTGCCTTTGGGAGACAGATCCTCTAGGAAGGAGAGAGGGATGGAGCTGGGATGCTGAGGAGCTGAGTAGGGAGGAGATGCTGCTTTCTGTACTAAAAACCTACCCGCCTGTTGTGTGGAACTTGCTATCTGGTTATTGTCTGCTTTCTGTCCTCCCTTCCTTTCTGCAGACTTCCCATGCACAGGCCTAATCATTCGAAGGCTAAATAACTGGCAAATCTCCTGAGCTGATGTAAATTGTTATTCTTTGAAATACAGGGGCTTTTTTCCCCTCTCTCTGCTGTCTCTTTTTTTTTTTTTTTTTTTTTTTTCTTTCTTCTTTCTTTCTTTCTTTCTTTCCACAGCCATCGGCAGAATCATCTTTCGTCTTCGTCTC